GCGGTGGGACAATGGGACAAAGGTACAGTGGGAACAGTTGTGGGGACAGTGGGGGCACTGGTGGGAACAGTGGGACAGCTCAGTAGGACAGCGGCAGGGACAGTGGGACAGTGGGACAGTGGGGACAGTGGGACAGTGGTTGGGGCCGTGGGGAAAGTGAGGAGAGTGGGACCGTGGTGGGAACAGTGGCGGGGACTGTGGGGACAGTGCGACAGTGGTGGGGGCACTGGTGGGGACAGTGGGGACGGTGGTGGGAACAGTGGGGACAGTGGTGGTGAGGACAGTGGTGCTGGGGACAGCAGTGGGGGATGTGGTGCGGACGGTGGTAGGGACCTGGGAGTCGTTTGCTGGCGGTGAGCGTGGGGGGGGGGGTCGAACCGGTAGTTGTCGTTGCTGCTGTTGTTACTTGAATTAATATTACTAGTGTAGTTGTTGTTGTTTGTGCTGTTGTTGTTATTATTGCTGCTGTTGTTGTCGTTTTGCTGTTGTTGCTCCCGGGAAGGGCATAGGCCCAGGGTTCTCTTTTAGATGGCTTACCCCCGGTTTCGACTTGAGGTGGGCCAGCGGACTTCTTTTGCGATAAATGTCGAGGTCGAGGTGGGCCGGCGAATTACATTTTGAGGATGTCTCGAGCGAAACGCTGTTGTTCAGAATTTGCTGAGGGTGTCTCGAGCGAAACGCTTGTTTTGTGTTATAGATTGTCCTCTCCTGGGGACCAGAATTCAGATGATCTATGAAGTGAAATGCTTGTTTTCACGTGCCCAGGTCTTGAGGATGTCTCGAGCGAGACGCTTGGTTTCACGCCTCCAGGTTGCCCAGGCAGAGGTCTAGAGCCAGGATTTGTTGAGGATGTCTCGAGCGAGACGCTTGGTTTCACGCGCCCTCGTCGCCCAGGCGGATGTCTAGCATGAGGATGTGTTGACGAAGTCTCGATCGAGATGCTTGTTTGCACGTGTCCAGGCTGCCCAGGCGGATGCCTAGCATGAGGATGTGTTGAGAGTGTCTTGAGGGATACGCTTGTTTTCACGTGTCCAGGTCGCCCAGGCGGACGTCTAACATAAAGATGTGTTGAGGATGTCTCGAGCGAGACGTTTGCTTTCACGTGTACAGGTCGCCGAGGCGGATGTCTAGAATGAGGAGGTGTCGAAAACGTCTCGAGCGAAACGCTTGTTTTCACGTGCCCAGGTCACCCAGGCGGACGTCTCACATGAAGATGTGTTGAGGATGTCTCGAGCGAACCACTTGTTTTCACGTGTCCAGTTCGCCCAGGCGGATGTCTAGCATGAGAATGTGTTGAGGATGTGTTGAGCGAAACGCTTGTTTTCACGTGTCCGGGTCGCTCAGGCGGATGTCTAGCATGAGGATTTTTACAGGATGTCTCGAGCGAAACGCTTGTCCCCCGCACGTTCCGTAGCGCGTCCCCTTGGCACGTCCCGCGGTGCGTCACCATGGCACGTCCCCTGGCACGTCGCTTGGCGCGTCCCTTGAGACGTTCCGCGGCGCGTCCTCCTGGCATGTCCCCCTGTCAATTAGCTCTGGGGCAGCTACTATGTGCTCAGGCAGCTCGAGCTTCAGATCCAGATCAGTTTGGTCAGGACTCGGATGCAAAGGGGGACTCGACCCACAACGCTATAGAGCACAATCGCGGCATGGCACATCGCAATTCAGCACGGCGCAGCACAGCACACACTTCGGCACGGTACATCAAGATCGATACTCTCAGCATTGCATTCTGGCATGTTCCTTGGCACGTTGCGTGGGGCGTCCCTTGTCGAGTCCCCCTGGCACGTCGCGTGGCGCGTCCCCTGGCACATCCCGTGACACATCCATTGGCACGTTTCGTAGCGCGTCCGGCACGTCCCGCGGTGCGACCCCATGTCACGTCCCCTGGAACGTCGCCTGGCGCGTCCCTTGGGACGTTTCGCGGCGCGTCCTCCTGGCATATCCCCCTGTCAATTAGCTCTGGGGCAGCTACTATGTGTTCAGGCAGCTCGAGCTTAAAATCCAGATCAGTTCGGTCAGGACTCGGATGCAAAGGAAGACTCGATCCACAACGCTATAGAGCACAATCGCGGCATGGCACATCGCAATTCAGCACGGCGCTGCACAGCACAGCCCTTAGCACGGTGCATCAAGATCGATACACTCCGCATTGCATTTGCCCGTCACCCAATCAGGTGTCTTTGAAAACGTTGCCATGCGCTACATTTCTATATTCCTTTCCGGGTTCGTGGGTCGATCATGTTTTTGTTGGGGTGGTTTCCAGCGCAACCACGAAACTCCTGAGCGTGAGCTTCAGCCGGCGCCGAGGCGAGAGTGCCAATGCGACTTCAGGGTGTCTAACAACAACAATGGAGCAAAAATCAAAGCTCAGCAGCAATCATTTTCGCATCATGCGCCATGCTTCGACATGCCACATGCATCCATCACAATACCATTCCCTCTTGCGGGAACTAGGAGGATAAGGAAGGAAGAGGAGGAGGAGGAGGAGGGAAGGAGG